ATGTATTCTAGGTATAATCTGCAGTGTGATCCATAGAAGACAAATATTCCAATTCTATGGAATTTCTATTCACCTATTTGACTCATTTGCTTGTTTCCTTAGATATACAGAAGTTTTTTTAATGTTATTAAATTCCACTTCTCAATTGGTAACCATAAATCTTGGGCAAATTGAGTCCTGTTCAGAAAATCCTGTTCTGTATCTCCTGCAAACATTGTCTATGCCCCCTTGTAACACTTTCAAGTCTCATATTTATTTATGTGTTTAATCCACTTGGAGATAGTTTTTGTGCAAGTTGATAAAACTCCAGTCTAATTTCATTTTTATCCCTGTGGATACACATTTTACCCAGGGAAGATGATTTTGTTTCTAGCATAAGTTTTTGGCATCTATATCATATATTAGGGGCTGAAATTATAAGTTCTTATGATAGAAGCTCTACCAATCCATTAGCATGGGATAGTTTTCAATTTGCTAGTGTCTTGTTTTTCTTCAGAGCTTTAAAGTTTTTGTGTCTTTTATATAAGCTAGGTTTATTTCTAGATAATTTTTTATTGTATTCTGAGTGGAAGTGTTGGTGACTTCTTTCTAAGTATGTTTATTGCTGTTGTATAGAAAAACTATTGATTTATGCAAATTCATGCTATGTCCTGACACACTGCTGAATTCATTTAACATTTCTATGTTTTCTGACAGAATTTTGGGGTGTATTATAAGAATTTCATGTCTTCTGCAAATAGAGATAGCTTAGCTTATGTTTTTCCTGTTTGTGTTCCCTAGTTCCCCATATTTGCTTTATTGTTTTAGATAATACTTTGAGCACAGTAGTAAAGGGAGTGTAGAGAGTAGAAAGCCCTCTCTTCCTCCACATTTCAGTGGAATGGTTTCAAGAATACAATCAAACTGCATTGAATACATTTTTTAAGAAAGCAAACAATACATAACAAAAGTTCTATTCATTCCTGAAAAGAAATTAATTCCAAAAAAAAGGTCTTAGTGTAAAAGTGGCCACTGATCTGTCTTAAGGAGACACTTGACCTGTCATTAGTCTTTGCATCAGTTTGTCAGCCAGTATTGCCCAGACCATTTGCCTGATCCAGGCATTTAAAATTGGTGTTTCAGATTCTTCCCGTCACTGCTTCTTCTCAGTGATAATATCCACGACCAACACTCCCCCACGCCACATACACACACACACACACACACACACGCACACTATTTACATGACTTAGAACATATTTTTCAGCTTATGAAATGAGCAAAATTTATTCTTCTCTCCTCTTAACTCTCATTTTTAACTCTTGTTTTGTTTCTTCTTAGATGAGTATTTTTCCTAACAAGGTAACCTTAGATTTAGTTAATGCCCCCATGTAAATGTGCCAAAAGCTCACTAGATCAGTCCAAACACCTCTGGGTTCGACATGCTGACTAACATTGTTCTGTCTTTCAAAATGGGAGAGTTGGATGGCTTGCTCAAGGACAGTATTTAACAGGAGAAGTACTTGTTTAGATGTTTACTATGGAGCTATGTGTCTCTTTGTAAGATCACTGTAGGCTTAGATTTTTCAAAGCCCATCTTATTTAGGGATCTTAAATCCTTCAACCTCCCTTTAGCCCACTGAGCAAAGGTAAAGAAGGCTGAAGGTTAATAAGACAAGGGGATGTGAACCTGTTAAGAAGTAGTTCTATGGGGAGATTCCAATCTCTGTTGTTAGGAATTCATTAGCAATGGCTTGATCCAGCAGAAACCTCAAGGCTTCACCAAACTGGCACAGGTTAGCAGAAGTGGTAAGAATCATCCAGAATACCATGAGAAATTCTTTGGTGAGTTTCTCTCTAAGAAGTGAAGACTAGCAAGGACCAGAGAAGACTCAGCAAAGACCAACAAAGACCAGGAAAGTCCATTGAACCGTTGCATAGTTAATGAATACCAGTGAGGCATTGCAAGGTGTAACAATGCAAAAGCATCCTTTCATTGTCTGTAGGGTTCTATTTACACTCTTTCCAAACATCATACTCTCTCTCAGGTATCTGCTCCAGCAAAATATCACAGGCCCTCTCGTGTGTCTCCTCCAACAAAACATCCTCTCATGTGTCTATTTCAGCAATACATCTTCTCCCAAGACAGTTTCCAGAAAAACATCACATGCCCTCCCACAAGATAGCTTCCATAAAAACATAACATGACACAACTTAGTCTCCAAAGAAATTTCCACTTCAGATTACTAGTTTTGATTTGTGTGTGATGTACTTAGATGTGTGTTACACCCAATTATAGGGCATGATAAGTTCAGGTCATAGAAGATTATGGCCCTACTTTAAAAAAAAAGAAAAGAAAAGCATCTGTGATCACATTTTCTGCAGTTTGCTTCCAGTCTGATAGCTTAGTTTTCTATATCTTTGAAGACATTTTCCAGTTCATATTGGCCCAACCATTCCACTTTTGGAGTGTATCATGACTTATATAAAATAATGCATACCACAAAATATTTTAATTGTAAAAATTTGAAAATAACCTAAGTGAAAATTGAATGCAAATATCTGAGTAAATTTGGATTTATACATAACATGTATTGCTGCTTATGGGAAGTTATGTAAATATTATATACTCTCTACTAGAGAGAGGGACAAATATAGCTTTACATGATAAAAATAAAAGAAACACCCATAATTTGATTTAAGTTTGACAGAATAAATAAAAGATTACATATAAAATATATGAGAATATATATATATATATATATATATATATATATATATATATATATATATTGTCATGAAAGCTGAAGAAGAATGTAAAGAAATTTCTGATAGTGAGAGGAGTAATCTGAAGTGGAAATTTCTTTGTTTTCTACCTTTTTGGGAGTTGGGGGTTATGCTCACCTTTGGTAATATGTTGAACAGTGAAAGGTCGGGAACAAAGACAAACTAAAGGAGGATGGTCAACCTATCATTCTGTTTATTGGATACCATTCTATGTATGTACTTATCTAAAATTTTATAAAACATTAATAAGAGTTAAATAAGGAAGAAATAGGGAAAGTTATTCTTTGGTTAAATTGTTCTTTAATAAAAATAGTTTTCTGTTTATAAAGTGTTTGGATAAAGAAGAATGGAAAGGGGAAAATTATATAATTATAACCTCAAAATGAAATTAAAAATAAAACAACAAATGTTTTATAATAAAAAAGAGTTGCATAACTTAAAAATGATTTCAAATAATCAAATAGTGATAATGTTCAATGATAAATATTTTATGTTCTAGATATGAACTTTGAACAACTTGAGGCTCACTTGTACTTTTCTAAGCTGCGCTATTGCCATATGAAAAGTGTTCATTTTTCCTAGTTCTTAAGAAAATATACTACCTCTTTTGGTATTTATTTGTGTTTATGGAATATACAGTAAGTGCACATGGATGTGTATATGCATGACTTTTGATTCCAGAGGAGAACATTGTCTTCTGTTATTGTTTTCTACCTTTTTGGGAGTTGGGGGTTATACTCACCTTCTGAACCTGAAGCATGCCATTTGCCTATGCTGACTAGCCAGAAACCTTAGGAACCTCCAGTATCTGCTCGTCAGTACAAGGTTACAGATTTGCCCAACCATCCTTACGTGTGTGTGTGTGTGTGTGTGTGTGTGTGTGTGTGTGTGTGTGTAACTGCACTAGGAACTTGTTCTCAGGTGCTCTTGCTTTCACAGTAAGTGCTCTTCTCACTGAGTCATCTGTTCAATCTTTCTTTTCGTTAATTAGAATTTACTATTATTTTAAAGACAGGTCTCACTGTGTAGCCCTCATTCACATATAACTCTTGCTCTTACTCACATAGAACTAGTCTTGTCTCAAACTAATGGTGATTATCCTACCTCTATTTCTTGAGTAATGAACTATAGATATGCCTCAGTGCTTCAAGACCTTTCTTTCTTAAATACAGGAATACAAGGCCATGTTGGTAGCAATAACTTAGGAAAATTGAAGGCATGAAAACAGAATACTGAATTCTGTGTGACTGTGTGTGTCTGTATTCGTGTGTGTGTGTGTGTGTGTGTGTGTGTGTGTGTGTGTGCGAGTTTGTTTTTCCTAACATATAAGTATTGTTCTTATGATGGCTGTATTTTCTACTAATTTATTTTTAATTATAATTATTTTTATCGGGCATAGGGTATTTAATGGTTAGAGGACAACTTGCAGGAGTTAGTTCTCTACCATGCTAGTCTCAGGGACTGAACTCAGGTCATTAGACTCAGGAGCCAGCTTCTTCACTTGCCAAGCCATCCCACAAGCCCAACTATAAAATCATGGTGATAATTATTTTCCATATGAATTTTCTTCATTATATAGTCAGACTTAAAACTGGAGCTTCTTTCTATGACACATATTTGATTTACATCTTGAATAGTTCAGTTACTGTCAGTCATCTGGTGATGATTAACTCCTACTTATCTCGAAAGAAGAATTAGAGACTAATTTCATCTAACATCATATATAGATAATAATAAAAAAAACCCTACAAGTATATATATGGTTGACTTCTTAATAATCTCAGTTGTGCTTCAAAGACATCAACTTTTTTATTTAAAAACACATATATAAAGCAATTTTTCACCTCATACAGTAAAAATTCTTCCATGTATCCAAAACCTGAATGGGGCTTTTGTCAGGTGGCTTTTACATGAGAGTGGGAAGCGTAAGAGGAGAAAATATTCCTTTGGAGCTGTGAACTTGACAGACGAAAGGGGAAAGGTGAGTCGTGATGTAGAATGATGGACTTCTTGCCTTGGGTGCTTGTATCGTACATTTGCCCTGGATATCCTGTTAAACATTTTCTTTGTTTTTGTCACCATAATGGTATTTTCTTGGGCATTCTATTGGCTTCTTTCCTACAACATGCCTCCCTTCCATGCTAGTTGATTCTTTCATGGCTGACGCTCCTGTGTGTGTTTGAGTCTGTGATCTTTTGCCGCTTATCTCATGCCTTTTCCTTATGACGTTTCAGCTCATCCACCATACACCATGTGCTTTAGAGTGAAATTCTACCCACATGAACCCTTGAAGATTAAAGAAGAGCTCACAAGGTATTTTTCTTTTTTGCATATTTACTCTACCACTTGCATTCAGGCAGAGCCTCTGCTATCTTATCAGCTAGACACTCCTATTATCGAGATCAGAACACCTCCAAGAAGCAGGCTTTGGAGTCAGCACTGTGCTCCTTATATTCTTGATGGTCTTGGGATACCTTATAGATAACCACTGTCATTGAGAAAGCAATATCTGTACAAGAAAGCAATGGTTATGAAAAGGAAGCTCTCTGAGAAACATTTGACAGTGGAGTGCTAACCATAAGCAGAAGATGATGGTCTTCTGGGTGTGGGCAAATGCAGAAAGCAGCTATAGTCTGACTTTTGGATCTAAGACTTTCTGGAAGGAGAAAATTGATGGGCAGAGAGGGCAGTTAGCTGTTTTGCTTTCCACTTGCTAGATGACAACTACCAAGCAGACTTTGCCTCACTTGTGCACTCTTAGCTCAAATCTGTGAACTCTCAAACTTTTATTTTTCCTCTCTATCTCTCTCTCCCTCCTTCCCTCCTCTCCTCGCTGCTGAGTTTATATACAATTAATCCTGGAGTTTTGTTTCCCTGACAAACATGGTACAAGTTGCTGAGCAGGACTCCAGGTAGCTGCCTCCTGGATTGATAGGTCAAAAAGTTGTCATACACCTTGATCTTGATGAGGTTCTAAATTGGTAACATCCAAATTGTCATGTGTAATTATAATTGACAATAATCTGCTTTGATCTGGATCCTACATAAAGGCAAATACATGTCATTCTGACTGTTGACATGTGAAAAGTGGAGGTCTTGGCAGATTTTGTATGTGCAAATACGTGTGAGAATGTATATGAGTGTATATATGTATGTGTAGATGTATGGGTGTGTTCCTATGTTAAATGTGGAGAAAAATAGGTAACAGATAATTAGATAATGTTATTTTTAAATCTTTTTTCTCCTCATTGGATAGATTTAAAAAACACGTCAGTTTCACAGACATATTCATAATGTTAGAAAGCTATTGACATTATTGAATTTCAAACTATTTTCACCACCACATTAAACAAACACAATATTCAATGACAGTCATAATCTGTCTCTTTATAGTAATCCCTGACAACTATTAGTCTACTTTCTGTATCTATAGATTCATATATTCCAGATATCAGATGTTAGTGAAATCATGGGAGAGTATGTAGCTCTGCCCTGACTTGAACTGAAATTTTGAAATTTATTTATAATTTATTTGATCAATTTTTTCTCAGCTCAACTTATCTACCTAAGTGAAAAAATACAATGAGTTAGAGAAAAATAAAAGTACAACAAAAACCAAAACAAGATAACATCTTTTGACACCACTCCAAACCACAAATAACAACAATTGAAAAATAGAAAGACTCACTCAAAAAAAAAAAAACACAACAACAACAACAATGAAATAAGGACACACCAAAATTTCAAGCCAATTTTTTTTAGTTGAAAGACTCCTTAAATGGACTAACAGCATACTTAGGAAAATGCATACATAAATATATACATACATAGATATTATTATTGTATGCATGCATATATGTATGTAACAATAATAATCAAAGAAAAAATACTATTATGGTAAGAATGGGATGGCTATGGGATATCATGGTAAAAAGGTATCAGAAAGGAGCAGGAAGGAGATGGAAAGGGGAAAGTGATATAATTGTATTTCAATTAAAAACATATAAAAATTTAATGAGTTATTTTTGCCATTTACCTATCTATATATATATTAGAAACTTTTTTTGTCTTTTATTTTGTTTTGCTTTTCAGATTGTACTGTACTGACATTTCTCCCTTCACTTTTCTTCACCTAAGCCATTCTCTATACCCCTTCTTGCTGCTCTCACTCAGATCCATGACCTCTTTTTTCACGAATTGTTATATATGCATGCATATATCTATATGTCTGTACATATATATTCCTAAATATAATACACTCAGTTCATATAATGTTAATTGTATATATATTTTCAGTAGTGACCACTTGATACTGAATAAATAACTGGTGAAGAAACTTTGAACATATGTCACAATCTTAAATAAAGGATAAATCTGATGTTATTGACAAAGACTCATGAAATAATAAAACAATACAAAACTGTAGTAAATAAGTCTAATATCTATCAGTATTTTATTTTTATGCTTAAATTATATTTTATTGCATCTATATATTACATTATTTTTACCCATTCATCAGTTAGTGAACATTTGAATTGTTAATACTTTTCATTTATAGTGAATAATAATAATGCCACCGTGAACATTTATGTATAATTTTGATGGCAGCCCAGTTGCTGATTAGTTGAAATCAGGCTACCATTTAGAAACATATAGAATTTGTATTTTCTTTATTTTTATTTTTTAATTCTTTGATAAATTTGTAAATGAATTTTCATCACTTCCAACCTTCCTTCTCTAAGTATTCCCAGAGCTCCTCCATTTCCCTCTCACACAATTTTGTGTCTTTTCTCCCCAGTTGACACCAATTGTGCTTCCCAAACATGCTTTGAAATATGGACTTTCACTAAAGCATGGTGAATTACTATGGGCTACCTTCTTAGGAAAAAAAAATAGTAATAACCCTTTCCCAGCAGATAACAATTGTCAATAGCTCTTTGTCTGGTGATTGTTCTTCATATCAATTTCCCCTTTCCATCCTGGAATTGACACTTGTTTGGACCTAACAAGTCTAATGCATCTTGTCACAATGACTTTGAGTTCTTATGTATAGCTTTCTGCAGTGTCCAAAGACAGTGTTTGTAGTCTTCCACCATATCTGGCTCTTACATTCTCTGTCATCTTTGGAAGAGAGAGGAATGATATACACAGTACATTTAGAAGTGAATAGTCTACAGTCTCTTATTCTTTGCACCTTTGACAGATGAGGATCATGGTAGTGGTCATTATCTACTGAATAAAGAAGATTCCTTTCTGATGAAAGTTGAGAGGTACTTAAAATTGTGGGTGTAATGGTAAATCAATGGGAGCTGGTTTAATAAAATATATATTTAGCAGTGTAGGAGTAGTGGTTTCACTCCTAGGGTCTATAACCTAGTTTATTATTTATAGTCCTAGTTTCTCTGTCCCATAATGGTACCTAGTATGTGTTGATCTTGGGTAGCAGACATTGAATCCAATCATAAAATAGTTTCTTGTACATTGTTTAAGCCACTGTCTCTACAGTAGGCATGTCTTCTTAGGCCAGTTATTCTTACACAGTGCATAGCTGACTATAATTAATGTTTATTCTGACCTCTGGTAGATTACACAGCTCTTCCCAGAATTTTAAAAGCTAGCTAGTAGAAAAGTTTCCAGAACATTAACAGTTTGATTTCTCGATATTCTAAAGCTCAAGTATGTGGTGTCAGCAGCAGCAGATTCTTACTATCATATTCTGGAGCATATCCAAGAGCATTGGCAACAGCATGTAATATTGACGGGGGCGGGGGGGAGGGAAGTCTTTGTGACCTCTCTTGTCACTTCTGAGAATGAACTTTGTATTTGTTAGCCTGTCATGTTAGTAAAGGCTATATTGACTTGTTATGGGATATCTACACTTAACTCTTTTTATGTGTGTGTATAGATGTACTATACGAAGATTCCACAATAGTACTTTTCCATATAATATTTTGAGAAAGTCTTATACTCAGCTTTCCCCTTTCTCATGCCTCTTTATCCCTTCTCATTCCATAATTCCCCTTTAGCTCTTTATATCACAACTCCCTTGAAAGCTCCTTTCTATGAGCACTTTAATTTTCTTTTTCTTTTCTTTCTTTCTTTTTTTTTTTTTTTTTTTTTTTTTGGTTTTTCGAGAAAGGGTTTCTCTGTATAGCCCTGGCTGTCCTGGAACTCACTCTGTAGACCAGGCTGGCCTCGAACTCAGAAACCTGCCTGCCTCTGCCTCCCAAGTGCTGGGATTAAAGGCGTGCGCCACCACCTCCCGGCTGCACTTTAATTTTCTAACTGCTGTTGATTACTCCCACTAACAGAAAAAATATATATCTAAAGATTCTAGGCTAATGTCTACATGTTAAAGGAAAAATATGATTTTCTTTCTGGGCTAGCCACATCCTACTTGTGAATCTCATAATAGCTGATTAATACTCCATTGTGTAAATGCACCATCTTCTTATTGTTCATTCATCATAAAATCTAGGCTGTTTCCATTCCTGGCTATTGTGAACAGTATGTCAATGAACATATTTATGAAAGTATCTCTGTAGCAGGATATTAGGTCTTTGTGGTATATATCCAAGGGAGGTGTAGTATACCATGTATTAGATGTATTTACATTCTTTAGGAGCCTCCACAGATTTCTGTAGTGACTGTGCCAATTTGCTCCCATCACCAGTGAATAAATGGTCCTCATTTTCCACATTAAACCTGGTATCATTAGTTTTTTGTATCATCCATTCTGACTGGGATAAAATTAAATCTCAAAGTACCTTTAATTTGCATTTGTGTGGTAGTTTATGATGGGTGCCCCCTCCAAGTGATTCTCATGTTCACAAGATTATTTAAAGTATGGTTCATGGCAGCATCACCAGGTAGCTATTGAAAATACAAATATCCTGCCTAGCTACTGAATCAGCATAAATATCTTAATTTAACATTTAATTTCTTTGGTTAATAAATCTGTCATTAAAGTTTCAGGCTTCAATCCAGGGATCTAGGCTGTCAAGTCAAACTGGGTAATAAACTTACTAGGAACTTTACATCTTTAATAAGATTATGTACTAAAATGGAAAGAGGTTTTGTACCTGTGATGTGTTCCTACAACCTTGATGGCTAGCACAATGCATAGTATAAAGTATGTGAGATAAAGATCCATGTGAAGAAAACACTAGAAGGCCAATAAATCTTTTACTATATCCATGTAGTTTCAGTGAAGTAGCCCCCAACATTGGCTGCTCCCATGTTCTGGACCAAGCAAAATCTTTATGATATTAGCACACAAATCTTCCTCTCTGAGTTTCCATTTCTTTTTCTATCTTTAAAATGAATAAGTAAAAGTGAGTAAAAAGCAAATTACTGAGCACTGGAGTTATTAGTCAGGGTTTTTCTGAGAAACACAGAGTAGGATTTGTGTGTGTGTGTGTGTGTGTGTGTGTGTGTGTGTGTGCACATCTGTACATGTGTATATATACATGAATGACTATATGTATGTTTACATAAAGTTTATTATAAGAAATTAGCTTGCATAAATATGGAGACTAAAAAGCCACCACAATCTTCAGGTTACAGACTGCAGAGGTTCTGAAAGAGGCGTAAGGATGAGAAATTAAAAAAAAAAAAAACAGAATACTTTAGTTCACATTGTCATACACATTGTCATATAGAATAAGCTCATTCTCTCTGCATTTCTGTACCATTCAGTCGTATAACACATTGCATCATCCACAAATAGGATAGTTATCTGTTTTGCTGTTTCATTAACTCAGCTATAAGTCATGTCCATACACACCCTTAAAGAAACCCAGAAATCAATCATGTTCATCTGCATACCATGGCTCAGTAAAGCTGATGTCCAAAACCAATCATCTAAAAGTTGTAACTGACTGGTTGAAAGGTGTTTTTAAAGGTTCTGCTAAAGACATACATGAAAGGGGACAAGGTCTCCTGTAGGTAAATGTTAAAATTGGCATAAATAGAATTTTTAATCTTGGTGTAAAAACAAAATAGACCTTAAGATCTAAGCCTGGGGGAAAAAACTTTATTTGGTTAAGAAAAAGCATGGAAACTGAAGAGCATTTGGTCAGCATGAATCAACCCAAAGGACAGCAACAACGGAGTGGAGTAGGACTTAGTGTCTACAAACTCTTGCCTCTGTGGTTTTGCTGTTTAGTTTTTGTTTTGTTTTGCTTTGGTTTTTTTTTCAGTATAATTTAAGTATCATGATAACATTTATCAATGTAAAGGTTTCACGTGTAAATACGATCTCCTGAGTTTTCTCGCAAAGTTGACACATCTTTTCTGCTTTTTCTACAGACAGAGTTTCCTAGTAGTTGATTCTGCCATAACTTTACCCCACTTTTCACTCTGTTTTCCCAGCCCACTTCAGCAGCCACATGTGATACAAGTACCTGAGCTTGTCCAGGAGAAAAGGGAAGACCAAATACAATGACACAGAGCCCAATACAAGTGTTAGTCAACTGGATTTCTGACCTCATAAGCAAGTTTGTTACTATTGTTTGGTTTTCATTAAGTAGTAACAAGGATGAGCTGTTCTTCAGGAACAATGAGTGTGTCTTCGTAAACTAATTGACCCCAGTTCCTTATTACAAGTTTCAAAAAGAACTTGGAATATAGATGATAAGTTGTAATTTTCCTTATATAGGAATGATGGCTGCTAGGCAGTGTGGGGTTTTTGTTGTTGTTGTTGTTTTGGTTTTTTGTTTTGTTTTGTCTCTTTGAAAGGCCAAAACCATTTACATTTGGAAATTTATATACACTTCTGGTTTCTAAATTCTGAAACTTCTCCACTTCTTTCTACATGTCTTAATCTAAGAGAAGCCTGGCGTGTCTAAGATATTGTTTTGAGCTAGGTGTGACATTGGTGGTTTAATAGAGTATAAACGTTCTTACTTCCAAGCTTAAACTAAAACTTAGGATACTTTTTTCTCCATTTGTATTGCAGGTACCTTTTATATTTGCAAATTAAAAGAGACATTTTTCATGGTCGACTGCTGTGTTCCTTTTCTGACGCCGCCTATCTGGGTGCTTGTATCGTTCAAGGTGAGTCTAGCCCCAGCACACTCATCCCTACCCCTGCAATGGGTTATAGATCTGTACTCTGTGCTTGTCCTCTCTGCTACCTACAACTATCCTGTCTTTGCCTATGGGGAAATCTAGATATGTCTAGACAGTTTGTAACAGATTTATTTGTTTACATTCCAAGCCATTCTTCCTGATAGATAACTGAGCTCCAGTGTTCATAATGCTTCTGTCCACATGTGAAGACTTCCAAAACTCCAAAAAGTCGAATATCAAATTTTTTTTTCAAGGAGACAGACCATCATTTTACAATACTTTCTGCATTGAAATAAGTATCTTACGTTCTGAGTTCCAATTGTTAAATGTGAAGCCTAAAACACATATCAAGGGGGAAACCTATATCAAGGAAGTGGATTTTAAATAATTATGGTCACTCAAATCATATATGCATATATTTCCTATAAATTCCTCAGCTTTTCTAGCCATAGAAGAAGATGGGAAGACCACTAAATTCACAAATCTGTTCACTGAATCTTTATTCAATTTTCCTAGATATTTTCTCAAACATGAATATCATGAGTTGTTTAAGCTTCAGGGTTTTACTGTATAAGTTGTAGTACTTTTTAAAACTTTAAAAATTCTAGTATTTAAAAGTTCAGTTTCCCCAGGAGTCTCCCCCTTCTCAGAGAACAGGATGAGGAGGAAGGATCTGTGAACGAAGGTACTAGGAGGGAAGGCTGATGTTAGGATATTAAGCAAAAGAATTAATTTATTAATTAATTAATTTTAAAAGTTGTTTTATATCAGCAATAGGCCTGTCATACATGTATACTAACACCAAGTCTTGGGTCTCTGTGCAAAAACATTGAAACAGAGGGCTATAAGCTATTGTAAACAGGCAGCTATTGCAGAAATTTACCAGTCAAAGACCTTGTAAATAGGTAGCCTTGGCAGATAATACCAACTTATATAAGGACAAGTGAATCATAGGCAGAGTCATAGTGACCTGTCCCCTGAACCTTCACCCAGACGATACCTTGTTCTGAAAGATATCTGTATTCCCCCTGAACACCCACACTCCAGTGTCATCCCCTTCCCCACGTCCTGCCTTTTTGTGTTTATAACCCCTGTGTGAATGAGTATAAATTACTATTTGAAAAAAATAAATAAATTATTAAAATAATAATAATAAAAGAACCCAAGAAGAAGCAAATATTTTATATTTCCCCTTTTTGGATCCTAGCTTTGAATCTTTAGTTTTCTGGAGTACAATAAATAATAAAAAGTAAACAAAAAAAGAAGAAAAGAGAAAAAAGTTTTATTTATTCATTTATTTACACTCCAGATTTTATTCCTCCTCCCATCAACCCTCTAACTGTTCCACATCCCATAACTCCATCCCATACCCCTGTTTCCACGAGGCTGTTCCCACCCCTCGCCCTCCACCCCACGTGACATCTAAACTCCCTGAGGTCTCCAGTCTCTTGAGGGTTAGATGTATCATCTCTGATTGAACACAGACCCAGCAGTCCTCTGCTATATATGTGTTCGGACCCTCATATAGGCTGGTATATACTGCTTTTTTGGTCCAGTATTTGAGAGATCTCGGGGATCTAGATTAATTGAGACTGCTGGTCCTCTTACAGGGTCACCCTCCTCCTCAACTTCTTTCAGCTTTTTCCTAATTCAACCACAGGGGTCAGCAGCTTCTGTCCGTTGGTTAGGTGAAAATATCTGCATCTGACTCTTTCAGTTGCTTGTTGGGTCTTTCGTAGGGCAGTCGTGATAGGTCCCTTTTTGATAGTGTCAGGCCTTGGAGCCTCCCCTTGAGCTGGATCACACTTTGGGCCTGTCTCTGGACCTTCTTTTCCTCAGGCTCCTCTCCATTTCCATCCCTGTTATACTTTCAAACAGGAACAATTATGAGTCAGAGTTTTGACTGTGGGATGGCAACCCCCTCCCTCATTTGATGTCCTGTCTTCCTGCTGGAGGTGGACTCTACTGTCTACTCCCTACTGTCAGGAATTTCATCTAAGGTCCCTCCCTTGGAGTCTTGAGAGTCTATCAACTCCCAGGTCTCTGTTGCTTTAAAACATTCAAAGTTTCTTTTAAAGGTAAAAGTCTCTCTTAAATATCTAAAATCTCTCTAAATTATCCAGTCTCTATAAAAACTCCAATGTCTCATTAAAACTTCCAATTCTCTTGACAATAGGCTCCTATAAAACACGATTTTAAAAAGTACTGAAATACGTTAACATAAGAAGGAACATTTGGGGTACAGCAAAACCAAATCAAAACTCAACAGTATAAAAGTTGAGTGCTTATTGACAGGGAGGGATCCACTCACTATCTTTTCGGCTACAAAGGCTTTGGAATTCTATTTCTATAGTGCTGCCATCTACAGCACACATAGATTGTCTCTATACTCAGGGTAGCTCTACTTCAGAGATACTGACATCTGATACTGACATCTCCAAAATGCCCGAGTCTCTGCTAGGATTGGGCTGTACCTTCAGCAATAGTTTCTCTTCAACTCTCTTCTGAGACTGTAACTATGTCACATGATGCCAAGCCTTGCATAACCTCTTTAATCCTGGAGATTCTACTGCAAGTGACATATAAAACCTGTAGCCTCTCCTGTCCTTTCACTGCGCCGACCCTCAGACTTACTCCAGGATCCTTTCATGTCTTCAAAACAAGTACCATCTGGATGCAACCAGCAGGAGGTTCAACAGTGATTGCTTTTTGACCCAATTCTGTGTGTTGACCCTGAGGGAAATTTTTGAAAAAGATTTCACCTGAATAATGATGGTCTTTTCTCAATCATAGCTGATTTTTCAAATTCTTAATTCAAAATTACATTCAAAGGGCCATAATTGCTAAAAGGCTTCTGAAATTCCACCAGATAGACCTCCGTCATCTACATTGTTCTCAACATTCTTATTTTCCTCAGAAAATCCCACTGAGCTCTGAGCACTCAGTTGTTTTTCCAACCTAAAGACCAAATGCCACTACATTTTTCCCAAAATCACATGATCAAGTCTCAACAGCATTACTCATGACCTGGTAGCAATTTCTTAGGATTTCTATTGTTATGATAAAAGACCAGGACTATCAGCTACATGGGGATGAAAGTGTCTATTTGGCTTACACTTCCATGTCAGTTTCAAGAAAGAGGAGGGAGTGAAGACATGTAACAAAGCAGAAAACATGGAGGAGTGCTACTTACTTGCTTGCTCCTCTTAGCTTACTCAGCCTGCTTTATGATACCTCTTGCCTAGACATAGCATTTTCCCCTACCCCGGTGAGCTAAAGCCACCCACATCAGTCATTAGTAAAGAAAATACACTATGGACTTGACTACCAGAAAGTCATACAGGAAAATTTTCTCAATTGAATCCTTCTTCCCAAACATCTCTAGCCTGTGTCAAATTGACAAAAAAAACTAATGAAGACATGTACTGAAAGTGATCCAGTTTTATATTAGTGACATATTATCCATCCATTTATGGTAAATAGAGGTAATGGGTTACACCACCTCCCATTGTTAGGGACCATGGCCAGCTGCTGGTAATGCCTAAAGGTGAAGGGCCTATTAAGTATACTTCTGGAAACTATTTTGAGTTATTCATCATTCCATAGCCCATATTTCAGCTTACATGTTTATTTATTGGTTTTCTTTTTTTTCCACTATTCTCTATTTTATTACCTAAAGACAACTAGATATTTTTTTGCCTATAGTTTCATAGCCTGTTGAATATGACTTCATGCTGTACCCTGTTCCACTTCATAAATTAAATAGGACTATAGAACTCATTTAATTTCTTTATTTTATGCCCAAAATACTGTTTGAGGCTATTACTTCTAACCCAAGAGAATGTTTTGCAGGGTGCATCTCTGTGTTTTACTCATGATTCACGCCAACAGTACACACCCAAGTTGCTTCTCAATTTTCATAATCACGGTTGATACTATAAACACCAATGCAAACAACAGATACCATTAATAATCTCCTTTCTTGCAGATAACTCTGATACATGTCTAGTGTGTTACCTAGAAAAGGAATGTATTAATTATAATACTTACCTAAATATTCCCATATTGCTTTCTAAAACTACATGTCAATAATCTATAGATGTACAAACATCTTCTATCTATCTATCTATCTATCTATCTATCTATCTATCTATCTATCTATCTTCTCACCTCACTGCCATCTTCCACTTTTTAGGAGTTTATACACATAAAGTGGTATTTTTAATTTGCTTATGTATGTATAGTTTATTAGAAGTTTAAACATCTCTTCCTATCCATTTTGGGTTTTGTAGGTGGTGTCTTCATATGTATTGAGCATGTTTCTACTGATCATCCTACCCATTTTCTTACCAATTTGTAGAGATTCTATATATCAGCCCTATAAACCTCAGATTTTGCAAATATGTTGCTTAAATTTGACATTTTTTTATTATTTTTTATTTTTTATTTATTTTTCATTGGATATTTTCTTTACATTTCAGGTGTTATCCTCTTTCCCCATTCACCCCCCCACCTAGAAACCCCATAACCCATCCCCCCTCCTTCTGCTTCTATGAGGATGTGCCCCTACCTACCCACCCACTCCCACCTCCCCCCTCCTCAAATTCCTCCATATTGGGTCATCCAGCATTCATGGGACCAAGGACCTGCTCTCCCATCTATGCCCTACAAGACCATTCTCCCCTAAATACACAGCTGGAGCCATGGGTCCCTCCATATGGGTTCCCAGGCTGGTGGTTAAACCCTGGGAGCTCTGGTTGGCTGGTATTGTTGCTCTCCCCATGGGGCTGCAAACTCTTTCAGCTCCTTCAGTCTTTACTCTAACTCCTCCACTGGGAACCCCATATTTTGCAAATATGTTCCTTAAATTTGACATGTTTTTACTTTGACTAAAATGCCACTTAATAAAGAGAAATATTTTAATTTTAATATAATCAAGTTAATCCAGTTTTGTCTATTTGGCCAACTATATTATATCTTCAGCAATACTTTCTTACTGCTCACTTCTAGAGATAACCAATACCTTATAATGTTTGTGGAGAGGTTTATGAGACACCTATAGCCAATAACTTAAAGAAGAGACAACCCATTTCTGGTACTTGGAGTTTGTTTCATAGCATATAATGTCTAGTTGTATAGAAAATATAGAAGTAGTGTTTCCCAATGGTGTTTTCAAAATGACTTCTATTAATTGATCTTTCTCATTTCCTTACTAGTCTACCCTCTAACCCCCACCCTACTTATTCTTTCCTATTTCATTTTTGCCCTACGGCCCTTTTATGGACTATATTCTATTTTCCAATCCTTGAACGATCTCCTCCTCCCCCAGAACCTCATATTATTTACCTAAGCCTATGAATAATCCAAATGAAACACACATACTAAACTTAAAAGCAAACATCTATATGTTGGAGTAAGCATGCAATTTTGGCCTTTGTGAGTCTTGATTGTCACACTCCAAGTAACGGTTTCCAGTTGTATCCATTTATGTACAAATTTCATTTTGCTTAACAGCTTGAATAATTTTCTGTTTTGTATCTGAAACACATTTTCATTATTTATTCATTAGCTGACTGGGATCTAGGCTATTTCTATTGCCTGAATATTGTGAATAAAGCAGCAGTGAACATGGATGAGTGATCTTCTATGCAGTAAGATACAGAGTCTAATTGGATATGTGCCCAAGGGTGGTTATAGCCAGACTTCAAAAAAGAGCTAATAATGATTCTACTCAAAGTAGTCTAGAAAATGGAAACTTCAAAATCATTTGCAAATTATTTTATAAAGCCAATTTTACCTTAATACCAAAACAGACAAAGACTCAACAAAAAGAGAAAATGTAGACCAATATCTATTGATTAACATAACACAAATATTCTGAATGAAATGCTCCCAACAGAATTAAAAAAACACATCAAAAGAAAATACACCACGATCAAGTCACCTTGATCCAAGTCCTTTGAGGATTGTTCAACAGAGTAAATAATTTTTAATAATATCTAAAAAATAAATATACTAAAGAACATCTCACTAGATTCAGAAAAGTTCTTTCACAAATCCAATGTCTTTTCATGATACAAAAATAAGGAACAACTTAACATTATAAAGGCAATTTATAATAATATCAGGGCTAACATCATTCTACATGAAGAGTGTTGCAAATGATTCCACTAAAATTGGAAACAAGATGTCTTAGGGTTTTATTGCTGTGAAAAGGCACCATGACCATGCAAACTTTTGTAAAGGAAAATATTTAATTTGGGCTGACTTACAGTGTCAGAGGTTCAGTCCATTATCATCCTGGTGGGAACCATGCCAACCTGCAGACAAACATGGTGCTTGAGGAGCTGAGAGTTCTCCATCTTGATACAAATGCAACTTGTCTTCTGCAGTCAGCTAGGAGGAGGGTCTCTTCCACACTGGACAGAGACTGAATATAGAAGCCCTCAAGGCCCACCTACTGAGAAATAAAGAAAAAAAGATCCAACAGAGGAGAAAATATGGAATATGTTTGAATTTACATGCACAAGCACAGGAAAGCCTTTTAAAGTAAATCTCTTCTCTACTACAATCGTTATTATTTCAATGAAGAGGCAACCAACAGAACAGGAGAAAATATGTTTAGCAACTACATACTTAACCAAGTGTTGTATCTACACTATACAAAGAACTACAAAAACAAAGCATAATAAAAACTAATAAACCAATTTTAAATATGGCATGGAACTAAATACAGAGTTTGGAGAATATGAAATGCAAATGGCTGGTGATGCTATGTGATAAACCAGACCTTGATCATGTTTTTCAATCCTTACTAAACATTAGAATCACCAGGGGGAGCTCTCATCCTCATCCATCAGGGAAATTTAAATAACAAATACTTTGAGATGTAATTTTAACATGATTAGAAAGGCTAAGATTTAAAAAAAAAGAAAGAAAAAAAGAAAAAAGTGGTGATTGCAAATGCTAGAGAAAAGGGAACATTTAACTCACTGCTAGTGGGACCGTAAATTACTGCAGCCATTATGGAAATCAGAGTGGAGGTTCCTCAAAGAGCTATAAAAGGTCTATGATAAAGCCTTGTATAATATACAACATGGGGTTTTGATGTTTGGATTTTATGGTTACCAAATTCAGAATGAGTGTGTGTGTGTGTGTGTGTGTGTATCTGTGTGTTATGATCTCCTTTGTTTATAATTTTATGTGAACACTCAAAATCTGTTCTACTGAGTTTTAAAAATAGTATACATTCTTCTAATAAGTATACTCACAATGTAGCATGACAGATCTCTTGAGTGTATCTCTTGTACATAACTGAAATTGTGTAACTTTTGACTAGCTCTGAAGGATGTTGTTATTAATAATAACAATGATTTAACTACTAACACTTAGTGGCTAAAAAGTTCTGTAAATCTTAGGAAATCTGAAAGAATAAAATTTTTCAGCAGTGGCTAAAAAGTTCTGTAAATCTTAGGAAATCTGAAAGAATAAAATT